CAAATACAATTGATGCACGCACCAACTTACATGCATTTTATAGAGTCTAAACACTAAATGCATCTTTACAAGACTAACACCTATCTTAAATAATATTAACATATAGGTGAGTTGGTCTGGTTTCCAGCTCTGAATATATCGGTGCTTAGCTGACACCTACAGCTTTGGCAACAGTTGGCACCTGGTTTACCAGCATATCACCTCACTGGCAGGAGTGCTCATTGAAAATGAATACATATTGTGCAGTGTTAACACAGCTCTGTCTTGAACATGTGTAGCTTATCCTATTCAAACCAGTGAATTTCCTTGCTTTAAGCTGTAGAATCCTGCTATTAAGGCCTGGCTCATATTTTTATTACTAGAGAAGAATCTTAACTGTTCTGTGCTTCTCTTCTTGAATTAATCCTTCCTGAAGACAACTTTCTACTAAATGTTCTAATGTTATGATAATCTATTTCATGCACTCTTGAGAAGTCTGATTCCTCATTAGTGTTTTGATCAGAGTTTAGCTTTGCAGTCATTTCTTTTGTAATTGCTTATTAAATTACATTCTTCACTCCAGTACTATATAGCACCTATTTCCCTTGTTTTCCCCCCCCAGACAGTAAATGCATCAAGAATACATTTCGGCCTTATTAGAAGTAGGCTTGACAGAATTTGATTTTTATTTTGTTATAGTTTTGGCAGATAATATTGATTTATTTTTAAGCTTTTTTCTATTTTCATTTAAATGTTCACAGTTGCAGGAAATTGTTGGACAGGGTAGACAATAATTTAGTGACAGCAGACATTGAGACTCAAAAAGTTAAAGCTTTATAACCATGAAAACACATTGTCAACACCACATGTCAAAATATATGAAGTATATGCCCTTAAATCAAACTCTACTCAGTTCTCCAGCAGCTTTCTTTTTTTTTTTTTATGTTGCCTATTTGTAAATTTTGATGATGGAAATATTTTTCGTCAGTTTATGTGAGTACAGTGAAATAAAAATCTAATCCTTCCAGAGATAATTGTCAGGTTTTTTTGTTATTCCATTTTCAGACATAACATGCTGTCCCTTGGCTCCCAATTATATAAAGGTCTATAATCTGTTTCTTCCCTGATATCATTGAAACTGTTTAATCATCTAGATGCCATTGCTCATCCTCCAAGGGCTGTCTTATGAGGGTGAACTTTTATGTGGCCCTGATTTGTTCCTGGAGATAATGTCCTCGCTCAAACACCCTCACGCAAAAAAGACTGGAAGTTTGGCCAAGAAGCCAGCATGCTGAGTCATAGGGAAAAATTAGCATGCTGATTCTCAGGCTTTTTAAAAAATATAAAACTTTATTAATCATTGTTGGGGGTGGGTGGGGAGAAAGGTAAGATGTTTTTTAATGTTTTTGAACCCAAAGATAGCAAAAAGAAAAAGTGTGCTATAGGGTTTAGATTTAAAACGGCTCTTTTTTGGTTGTGACATTCTTTGTGTTGAAGGATCTTGTATTTTGGAGACTGATTATAAACCTCAAATATTTCATAAACTTATTGTGCCCTTTTAACTTGCATTTTTTCACTTTGGGGCAGAGGGATGGAGGTGGGGAGTAGCTATTCAAATATTAAGCTACAAATTTAGTCTTTTTTTCTGGAAATAATTTCTAATAAAACACTCTCTAGTTCCTTACTAGAGTCACTTGTAGAGTTATTAAACTGCAAAACTGATATTGAAGCCTTGAGCGGCTTGTAAACCACACTGAAAGTCATACAGAAAAATGGGATGCTTCAGGGCTGTCAAAGGAGTAGCAAGTAGTAAAGCTTTTCCCCTCTTAACTGGTGAAGTTACATAAATGTGAAACATCACAGAAAAGAAAACTACTTGAAGATCATACTCTTCCCTACAGGTCTGAAAGGGACATGATTCAGACTGCTCAGTCAACAATTTGGCATATCAGGCATTTATTGCATTACAGGCATATAACACTTTTGTTATGTAGTGTTTATTTGTTCCATGCGTGTGAATAGCCAACATATTGGAATTGACAGGAATTCCCCATTCAAAAGCACTTGAGACAAGTTTGCAAGCTTCAGTAAATAATGCTTGCTTCACAACTATAGAAAAGACACCAGGTACAACACAGGAAAAGTGTTAAATGAATGCCCTGCTTAAATATAGCTTCTACCAGTTTGCGTTTAAATTAAAATAAAAAAGCCAAAGAACCTTTTTAAAATCCCCCTCTTTCCATTGGTTTTCACTCATTTCTGATTTAGCTTTTTATGTAGTGGTGTCTGGTAATGGAGGGTACTCAGTTACTTTTTTAACTGTCTACTACTGTATTATTTTAATTCCACCTCTTGTATAGTTGTTGATCATTTAAATTGAGTATATTAGGTCTGTCGATTAATCGCAGTTAACTCACAATTAACTCAAAAATTAATTGCAGTTTGAATCGCACTGTTAAACAATAGACTACCAATTGAAATGTATTAAATATTTTGATGTTTTTCTATATTTTCACATACATTGTTTTCTGTGTTGTAACTGAAATCAGTGTATATTATTTTTATTACAGATATTTGCACTGTAAAAATGATAAACAAAAAATAGCATTTTTCAATTCATCTCATACAAGTACTGTAGTGCAATCTCTTTGTTGTGAAAGTGCAATTTGCAAATGTGGATTTTTTTTTGTTACATAACTGCACTCAAACAAAAGAAAGTAAAACTTCAGAGCCTACAAGACCACTCAGTCCTACTTCTTGTTCAGCCAATCGCTAAGACAAACAAGTTTGTTTACATTTACAGGCGATAATGCTGCCCTCTTCTTATTTGCCATGTCACCAGAAACTGAGAACAGGCATTTGTATGGCACTTTGGTAGCCAACCTTGCAAGGTATTTATGTGCCAGATATGCTAAACATTCTTATGCCCTTTCATGCTTCGGCCACCATTCCAGAGGATATGCTTCCATGCTGATGATGCTAGTTAAAAAAATGTGTTAATTAAATTTGTGACTGAACTCCTTGGAGAGAATTGTATGTCCCCAGCTTTGTTTTACCCACATTCTGCCATCTGTGTCATGTTATAGCAGTCTTGGATGATGACCAAGCATATATTCATTTTATGAACACTTTCACTGAAGATTTGACAAAACGCAAAGAAGGTACCAATGTGAGATTTCTAAAGATAGCTTTGACCCAAGGTTTAAGAATCTGAAGTGTCTTCCAAAATCTGAGAGGGACGAGGCGTGGAGCATGCTTTCAGAAGTCTTAAAAGAGCAACATTCCAGTGTGGAAACTACAGTACCCGAACCACCAAAAAAAGAAAATCAACCTTTTGCTGGTGGCATCTGACTCAGATAATGAAAATGAACATGCATTGGTCCATATTGCTTTGGATCATTATAGAGCAGAACCCGTCATCAGCATGGATGCATTTCCTCTGGAATGGTGGTTGAAACATGAAAGGAGATATGAATCTTTAGCGCATCTGACATGTAAATATTTTATGATGCTGGCTACAACAATGCCATGTGAATGCCTTTTCTCACTTTCAGGTGACACTGTAAACAAGAAGAGGGAAGCATTATTTCCTGCAAATGTAAACAAACTTGTCTGTCTGAGTGACTGGCTGAACAAGAAGTAGGACTGCATGGACTTGTCGGCTCTAAAGTTTTACATTATTTTTGAATGCAGGTTTTTTTGTACATAATTCTATATTTGTAAGTTCAACTTTCATGATAAAGAGATTGCACTACAGTTCTTGTATTAGGTGAATTGAAAAATACTATTTCTTTTGTTTATCATTTTTATAGTGCAACTATTTGTAATAAAAAATATCAAGTGAATACTGTACACTTTATATTCTGTGTTGTAATTGAAATCAATATATTTGAAAATGTAGGAAAAACATCCAAAAATATTTTAATAAATTTCAGTTGGTATTCTATTATTGTTTAAAAGTGTGATTAATTTTTTTGAGTTAACTGTGATTAATCAACAGCCCTAATTAGCAAAATTTTCAGTCATATTGGATTTAGGAACACTTACAATAAAGAAAATAGTGTAATCCAAATAAGTACAAAAATTGCACCAAGTCTCAGCCACAGAGCTTGCAGGATTTAATTATGTCTGGAAACTGAAGTATGCACATTATTTGGTGGTCTGCCCACATTAGGGCTGAGGCTCATTAGTGGGATTTTATGGGATACTTTGCACTAAGGTTGATGATGCTATATTTTACATTTGAAGACTTCTATCCCCAAAACTGTCAGTACATTATACTTTTACAGATGTAGCATCTCCATTTTACAGCTGGGCTATCTGAGGCAGAGATGGTTAAGTGACTTGCTTAAAGTCACACAGTGAGCCAAAGGCAGAGTCTGTAAAAGAATTGGTTGCCAGACTTCCAGTTCCATGCCGTATGTCTCAGACACGTTTGCCACTCCACAAAATGTTAAAGTAGATCTGCAAAAACAAAAATAATTGTACCCATTTGCTTCTCTATGATGTATTGAGATGGCCTGAACACCTATTCCAAATTTATTTCTATTGGATTTTATATATTAGGAATATCAGATATTGATGTCTCTGTAATGTTGCTGGAGTACTGTTTAGAGAACTGGAGTGAGCTTTCTCAGTCCTCACTTGAAAGGAAAAGGGTTTAATTAACTCAAATTTTTAAAAGCATCTTTTCCCCCAGTGTAGACATATCCGTAGGGAGTCCTACAGAGCTCTTAGCAAGAGGGGTGGAGGCTAAGATTAGGAGCCTTTCTAAGGATAGGGAAAACATTGAATGAATGAACTACAAAAAGCTTCTGGGAGTGAAGTAGAAAATTACATACATTTATGATAGATGTACGTTATAAGAATTAAACAAAACTGCTTTTGGATACAACAATACATTTTTGATCAGCTGGCAGCAAATCTTCCTTTCTAATCTAATTTCTGCTACTTTCTTAATTCAAATAAATATTGTTTACTGGTCAATATTTTTCATTTTAATTATGTTTCTTCTTATGTAGCTCCCCAGAGGAATTTTGAAATTGCCTTCAAGATGTTTGATTTGAATGGTGATGGTGAAGTGGACATGGAGGAGTTTGAACAGGTAAATTTCTGGGAGGTTGACTTCTTAAAGATATACAACCTAAGACTTAATTGTAATGCTTACTATACAACATAATTATGATGGTTTGCTACTAGTAGGTATTGGCACATAGGTGATAGTTCATAGATGCTCTTTCTATGCACCACAGCACACCCTTTTCACTCCAGCTTCCAGTAGGGAACCTTTAATTAAACCAGGAGAATTACGTGCATAATAATCTGCAAAGCCACCATCATTATTCTCTGACTTGAGTCTTGAGAAGGTCTCATGGACAACCCTAGCTCCACAAACAAAAGAAATGAATTGCTGTGCTAGTGTAACTGCTGTTAGGGATTCTGACCTTGCCTGCTCATATTTTTATTACAAAGCTATTGTTTTGTCATAATATTGAATAACTGTGCTTAATGTGTCTGAAACATAAGACTTTATGCATTTGCTTAGAGCTACTTTAGTAATTTTGCTTGACTACTTTGAATTTACTTTCCTATGTTAATTTTCCCCAATCAAAGTAACATCCCATCCCCAATCATATTTGATTTACACAGTTTGACTTTTCAGGTGATGATATCATCCATTGGAGGTAGGGTGAGACAAAACAGTTCTGATTTCTGCTATGTGTAGGTACACATGTTTGCTCTCTTTCAGATTAGGGATGTGTTGTTTTTTTCTTGGACCACAATTTGTGTGGAAAACAGGCTTAAGAGCTCTGAAACTCAAAAAACATCCTTAATTGCCAAATGATAGAAAACCTCCAGAGTTGTAAGACTGATGAAAAAGAAAGGTGAATGCATTCACAAAGAGAAGGAGGTAATTAGCTAGTTGAATGATGAGGCACAGTACAAAACAAGGGAATAGATTCAGAGGAAGAAGGAAAAAAGGTTACACTACATTTGTCTCCATTATCCATTTGTACCAATATGATGCATCGGTTATTATTTATTATATATTGGGTTGTATTTCAAATGTTTCATTTTCCTCCAGAACAAGAGGACACAACCAAATATTCAAAAGTATAATTAGATACACAGAGTGCAAACTAGTGATGTGGCCAGTGTTCTGAACATTGACTCTCTTAAACAAATATCAACCATATCCTATTTCAACAGTATGTTTATGTTCTCATCATAGCGTCTCAGTGCCTGTCTGCATCTCTTATCAAAAAACTAGGTTAAGATCTAATGTTCATCCAAGTCCTCTCCCCTCGAACTCCACACGTTTTAAACAAGAGGCATAACATTTTAAGCTCTTATGGACGTTGCAGACATTCTGGCATTTTCTGCTGAATTCCTGGATGAATAATATGTCTTCTCCACGGGAAGTACAGTGCCTTTGATCCTTTTCCTGCCTAGGTATATTAAGAAAAGCAAACAAAATCAGTAAGAGTAATATCTTACACACTCTATGCAAAAGAATAAATGGACACAAATCTGACATCAGGAATCATAACATTCAAAAACCGGTAGGAGAACACTTCAACCTCTCTGGCCACTCAGTAAAAGATTTAAGGGTGGCAATTTTGCAACAGAAAAGCTTCAAAAACAGACTGCAAGGAAAAACTGCTGAGCTTGAATTAATATGCAAACTAGATACCATTAACTTGGGTTTGAATAGAGACTGGGAGTGCCTGGGTCATTACACATATTGAATCTGTTTCCCCATGTGAAGTATCCTCACACCCCCTTGTCAACTGTCTAAATGGGCCATCTTGATTATCACTGCAAAAGTTTTTTTCTCCTGTTGATAATAGCTCATCTTAATTAATTAGCCTCTTTCTCCACCTTTTCATGTTCTCTATATGTATGTGTATATATATCTTCTTACTATATGTTCCATTCTATGCATCCGATGCAGTGGGCTGTAGCCCACGAAAGCTTATGCTCAAAATAAATTTTAGTCTCTAAGGTGCCACAAGTACTCCTGTTCATCTTACACTTCCTAATAGTTTAACTTCCAAAGCAATGTTATATAAAGCAAAGTAACAATTGAAGGTTATCTTTCAGTTTCACTTTCTAAGATTAACTTGTTTCTTCTTTTTAGTATTTGGTTCCAAAACACATTAATCTATTGTTCTGTAAAATACTGCATATAACAAATAGTCCTTCACTGTGACAATTAGGAGTCATGTCATTTTTTCCTGTACAATATTTAGCCAACCCTGAACTATGGAGGGGCATAATAAAAATTAGTTTAGCAAACACCTCTAAAGGAGATATAGAAAAGCATTGTATGAGCAGTCTGTAATTTTTACCATACTTTTATAACTCTACACATTATAGCTCTACACACCATCGGTCAGTATTTCATAACAATAAAAAGCAGAAACTACCAGTTGTGTGTGGAAACACAGGATTTAGTGTCAGACTAAGTGACTGTACCTTTGAGTCTCTTTAATGGAGAACAATTGGAAAATATGTATGCTCGTGAAATGGTACTCCAATTGAGAATGTCCATGGATATCTGAGAACACAAAGGTATCTCTGAATAATCTAGTCACAAATTTTTACCATATATTGATTAATTTTAGAGACTGTTACAAGATATGATGATGATGATACGTATTATTCATTGAAAACTAGGGCCAGAACAGGCGAGTTTTTGTTTTAATTTACTTTGTTTTCTCAGAGTAAGGAAATCTTTGGGATCCATTCTGCCCCATATCACTTATGGATATAGTATCACTGCTATTGTTTACTTCAAAGGAAGAGCTGTGTAACATGCTTTACTTCCTCCATCTTGTTCATTTGTTACAGTTATGCACATAATAGTGTGTATAATTCCCAAATAGTATGGATTGAGGTAATTGCTTGTAAAATGAAACTACAAGACTATTGCATCAATCCTTCTCTTCCGGAGTGGAAATCTGAATTCAGAATTATTACCCAAGTTATGGCCCCATTCATCACTTGCAATAGGTGATAGGGGGGCTGAGCCCTATCAAGCAAGGTTAATAATTCCAATTAGTCATGCTCTGCACCTGGGGGATGATTAATTACCTCCTGGCCAAAGAAGGTGGAACTAGTTCTTATAAGTAGACTGAGGGAGCTCAGTTAGGGAGACAGGTGTCTCTGGTGTAGAGAACCCTGAGATAAGGTTTGACAGACAGGAAACACAGGAGGAAGAACGCTACTGGAGCTGGTTAGGTTCCTTCAGGGGAATCCCTAAGGTAGGGCCAACAAGAGAAGGGCAGAAGGGGGATTAATTTAACGATTTGTTTGGACTTTGATTTGGATTTGTTTGTGCTACCTCGGAAGGGCTTTAGACTTTCATGTGACTTGGCTAGAGGTGAGCTGGGAGAAGACAAATGCTGGGAAAGGCCTTTGCAGGGCAGGGAAGGCTAGAAGCCAGTAGAAGGCTCCAGAGACTAGTTCTTGTGCAGTGCTGTGACTAGAGACAAGGGGGTACCAACATTGTGAGAACATACTATTACGCTACTTGAATGGTGACAGGTTTCATAGTGGTAGCCATGTTAGTCTGTATCGGCAAAAATAAGGAGGAGTCCTCGTTATTTTTGCTATTACGCTATTGTATCCCTAAATACCACTGGCCTGGTTTTCAGAAGTGTTGAGCTCCCTCATTTTCCATCAGCCCATACGTATCAGATACATTCTATTTCCTACCATTCATATAGTTCCTGAATATACCACTTCATAGTCATTTGACCATATTTAACCATTCCAAAAAGCTTCTTACACTACATTTAGTAATCAAAGTAAGTTTAAGAATTTTTACATCCAGCTAAAATCAGTCATTGTTGAATGTTGATAAATGAATTTACAGTACCTTAAGGAAAAAAAGAAAATAGCTAATGGATTGCCAAAAAAAGGCTGAAGCTAAGACAGTATTTAACAGAAATCAAGGCTTTTTTTTATTTTGGGGGTTTTATGTAAAATAAGTGTTCTGAGGATCAAAATTTATAAAATACTTTGAAGATGAAAGTGCTGAATTCTTTTAAGTAATCCCAGTCCACATGATATGCAAAGGGAGGTTTCAGGTGCATTAAGAGGACATATACAAGCTGTTAAGGATATGAATATCTATTTATGCTAAGCTTTTTACATGCTTCCATGTATATACAAAGGAATAAAGGTTGTATACATCACCAGTATAGTTTGATGAAGACTATAATCTCCCCAAAACTTAAATCCACAGCTTTCCAGACAGCAGTTGAAAGGAGCTGTATGTGGAAAGTGGGAAGAGGTCAAGAATATCTAAATGGCTACAGCTATTTAAGAACAAGAACGCTGACTCTAGTGAATATCCAAAGAACATTCCTAGATTCAGCTCGTTTCAGATATCAGTATAAATGATTGGATATACTTTGCAAATAACCCCCCCAAAAACAAACTAAACAAACTGTGGTTCCTTTGGTAGGGATATGTGTATTTTTCAAGAATTTATGCAAATACACCCTGGAATATCATATGCCCTTTTGGGTATTTCAGACCAATGAGGTGTTGTCACCCTTGCTCTGCATCTTTGGGTGCCTCATGATGCTTTACTGCTGTAGCCCCCAACTGGGCTGCTCACAAACAGCCCACCAGCATGTAGGTCGCTCCCTGAGTGTTTGTGTATAGCCATAGCCCTGGTTCAGCAACTCTGATTCCAGTAGTCTGTCAGCAAACACCAGCCACACTCTATCTTAAAGCACCCTTGGTTACCACTTGCAGGGTGATCCTAGCACATACCCAATACTGGATTTTCTCCCAAAATGAGTGTTCTGCACTGTCCAGCCTCTCCTGGCCTCTTCTCAAAGGATCAGTATTTAACAGTTTGCCACCCTAAATAGAGTTACCCATACAGTTCACAACACTGGTTTAGTTTTCATTAAAGAATAAAACAAGTTTATTTAACTACAAGGAGATAGGATTCAAGGAATACAAACATAACCCATTAAAGGAAAAAATGGTTACAAGAGAAATTAAGATAAAATACTTCCTAGTACTAAACTTTAACAAACTAGACTTGGTTCAAGGTGGAAATATTTATACTTCCATACACATAAACCATGCATGTACTTTTGGACTGTATGATTTATTTTAGATGGAGACAAACAAAAGTACCATGATCCTTACTGGGGCCTGCAAACACTGCTATCATATAAATTGGGATGGCCAAACTGTGGCTCACGAGCCACATGCGAGTCTTTTACCATTAAATTGTGGCTCGCAGAGCCCCCCATGTCCTCCCATTTTCCACCTATCAGTCTTTGGGGGGAGAAGGGGGACTTCAGAAGCTCTGCCTTGCAGCAGGGTGGTGCAATAGGGGCTTCTGCCCAGCGAGGAGGGGAGGTCTCGGGGCTTCTGCCCAGCGGGGATGAGGGGCCTTGGAGCTTCAGTCTTGCGGGGAACACCTGCCAGGGCTCAGGGCTGCAGCAGGAGCAGGGCTGAAGCCCCAACCCCTGGCTCCCAGCAGATGTGCCCCAGCTCTCGAACTTTTGAAGATTGTCATGTGGCTCAGAGGGCCAGTAAGTTTGATCAACCCGGATATAAATTATTATCTCCATGAATGCACTACTTCCTGTGTAACAGTCTGCCATGAGCTGAACACTAGCCTCTGTAGGAAAAAGTCCTTAGAGATTCAGAGGCAGTGTGTTCCCAACCAATCATAAATTACATAGCTTCATACATAATTACTTACAGACCATCACCTATATCTGTATGCAAAACGCCTATTAATGTTGGCAGTTTTGACAAATGGAAAATTAGGTGACTATGTTCAATGATATTAAAGGCAAACTGCTTCGGTTTACATTTTAGTGTATTAAAAATGTGAATCCTCATTCCGATTTCATTCTTTTTTTGTTATACATTTTTCTTTTCAAATTGTTTTAAATGACTTTTCTTGTATTGTAAGTACATCAAAATGTCTATAATTTGGAGGACGCATTTAGGCTGTGGGGAGCATAGCAAATCAGTTGGGGCAACTGAAGTTTTAAAAGAGAGAAACCTCACTGCTTTTCATTTTTAAGGTGCAGCTAAGCCTGTATCTCTGATTCCCCCCCTCCCTCCCAGTTGGTGCTCTCCACTTATAACAAGGGTCCTACGTGCTTTCGATATTTAAAACCTTTTGCAGCTGCCACACTGCTTTTATCCCCCATCCAGCATGAGGAGGAGGGAGAGGGGATTGCCAGCAGTGCAGCCAGTGTTTAACCTCCAGAAGTCTTCCAAGGAGAGAGAGGTGAACAGCTCTTCACTTCCTCCTTTCAAAGTATCCCTTTCCTATTGAAGCTAAGGTTTGCTCCACTAGAGTCCCTTGGTGTGGGCTGACAGAGGATGCAGGCATACTCTGAATATCATAGCAGTTTGCACTCCTTGGACATTGCTTTCTAAAAAAGGGAGTTTCAGAGGCAGTAAATGGTCAAACCTGGTAAATTGTTTTAATTTGAGAATGGCTGGGGCCTCTCTCTCACCCTTACCCTTTTTTTCTTGGGAAACCCAAAGAAGCCCTCTTCCTACTGAGGTTATTTCATGACTCAGAGGCTGGGGCCAGCAGCAGAAGGCTGTCATAGGGCAGGCTAGGAAGTAGGTGTGTCAGGGGTTATACATCTTGTATGACACATGCATTTGGCTATCCTGTTTGTGTATCTCAGGTAAAGTGTCATGCATTTCACAGAGATGGAGACTCCTTCACTGAACAGCCTTTGCCCAGGTGAGGAAGGGGATTTGGGTTGGGAGCTAGAAGACCTTGTGTTTCTTGGTTTCCTTTTCAGTTGAGCGCTGTTAACATTTTCTGTACAGTTCACAACTCTTAGCACTCACCAAAGCCTCAGATTCTTATCCCAAGAGTCAGCAACTATCATTCACCCTTCCCATTTTACAAATAACAAGGTCACAGCAGGCAGGGCAGGGAATAGAATCCCCATCTGTAATATGATAGAACCTAGTCTCACCACTGAGCCACCCAGCCTTTTAGGCTGAACGTGCTAACTCTGTGGATGTGGCTGACCTCTCTGTAACCACTGCCCTAACCATTAGATCGCACTCTCCTTCCAGAACTAGGATCAGGACCTAGGGATCCGTATATCCAACAGCCCCTGCTGCCTCCGAAACACCTTTTTAATCCATGGGAAAGTGTGTGTTGTCCACCTCTAGGGACTATTCCACACAGAGATAACAACCTACTTCTGATACTAGTTGCTTGTTCAAGTGCAAGAGATCTGTGTTCTGTATTTGAAGCTCCTGAGTTCAAACCCTGCTGCCTATCCTGTTGGGGAAAAATAACATATGATCATGTAATTAAAGACCATCTCAATGCTTCTGCACAGGGGGGCAGGATTAAGGTTGCATGGGTAGGAAATGCCAGAACTATGGTTAAATTTGAGTGCTTGACTGCAGCTTTAATCTTCTTTTAATAACATGTTTATGTATCTATGGGGAGAAAATGTGAACAGGGCACTGGACTTGGGACGAAGAAGACTAGGGTTCAATTCCCAGTTCTGCTACAGTGTTGCTTGGTGACCTTGGGCAAGTCACATTCCTCCTTGTGCCTCCACTTCCCAATCTGTAAAATGGGCAGAATGATACTGACATTTGTACGTCACTTTGAGGTCTGTGGATGAAAAGTGCTATATCAGAGCTGGGTATTATTATTATGCTGATTATATTATACATACATAGTGAGTTTTGTCTAAATAGACTGGACCTCCCCTTAAATTGGTATGAGGACCCTGGAGTAACTGTAATTGTTATAAATTCATAGTGTTTTTAAGGCTGGAAGGGACCATTAGACCATCAAATCTGACCTGTATAACACAGGCCAAAGAATTGCACCCAGTTACCCTGAATTGAGTCCAGGAATTTGTGTTAGAATTTAGTCAATCTATAGTCGAAGACATCAAGAGATGGAGAATCCACCACTTCGTTGGTAGTTTGTTCCAATAGTTAATAACTTTAAAAAAACTGCGCCTTTTTTCTAATTTGAATTTATCTGGCTTTAACTTCCAACCATTGGTTTTTGTTATGCCTTTCTCCTCTGGATTAAAGTGCCCTTTAAGTACCCAGTATTTTCTCCCAGGCGTGGTACTCATACACCATAATCAAGTGACCTTTTTGATAAGCTAAGCAGATGGAGTTCTTTAAGTCTCACACTGTAAGACATTTTTTCCAGCCCTCTAATTCTTTGTGGCTCTTTTCTTTACCCTTTCCAATTTTCAACATCCTTTGAAAATGTGGACACCAGTATTGGGTCTCATCAAATGCTGTATACGAAGATAAAATCGCTTTCCTACTCCTACTCCCCCGTTTATCATACAAGATTCCTGCAGGCCTTTTTGCCACAGTGCAGCATTGGGAACCCATACTGAAAAGTTTTTCTGCTACCACCCTTAATCTTTTCTAGAGTTGCTGCTCTCCAGAATACTTCCCTCTTCTGTAGGCATGGCATGCATTCTTTGTTCCAAGATGTATGACCTCACATTTGGCTATATTAAAACATTTTGTTTCTATGGGTCCAGATACCCTAGCAATCCAGGTTGCTCTGTATGACTGCCCTGTTCTCATTATTTACAACTTTGACGGTCTTTGAGTGCAGTACTCAATCGGCTTAATTGTAACTAGTCTACCAAATTTCTCAGGAGTGTTCCTTCTGGTCATCTTTCTTGATGGTTGGGACATACTTCTCTCAGCCAAGAAACCAAGTTCTTTGGTTGGTGCAGGCAAGCTTCAGCTGTTCCTTCCCCTCATCCCATGCAATACATCTTGGGCTCTTGCCTACTGCTTTTGAAAAGATAAGCTCCCCATTGTCTACAAGTGACTCTGCTTCCCTAATGCTTTTGCTGGTAGCTTTTGCGGGACAGGGTCAGCTAGGGCACCAGACTGGTTAAAATATGAAGGTAACAACCACATTTTCAATGTATGTAACTGATTTTTATTTTTTTTTTTAAACTGAGAATTGGAAAAAAATAAAAATCAGGATCCAGCCACCCTATGCACTGAAGTAACAAAGTAACTCCTCTTTGTACAGCTAACCACTTCACAGACTTGACAGTGACAAAATGGTCAAGAGTAACACTTCAACCAGTTGGCACAGTTAACAATGATACATTGGCCAACACAAGTACTTCCTTATGATGCTATTTTCCTTGCTAACTACTTTTTTTTTCCTGCTTAGGTCCAGAGCATTATTCGCTCCCAAACTAGTATGGGAATGCGTCACAGAGACCGTTCTACTACAGGAAATACTCTAAAGACTGGCTTCAGCTCTGCCTTGACAACATACTTTTTTGGATCTGATCTGAAAGGAAAGCTGACAATCTCAAACTTCTTAGAGTTCCAGCGAAAACTTCAGCATGATGTTCTGAAGCTCGAGGTGAGAATTCGTTGACTTTGGGCGGGGGCTGACTGAGGTCAGTCATGGAGTGCCCTATTGTGGTGTACTGAGGTGATCACCTGAGGGCTATCTTCATGAGGGTGAGCGTGGGTGTGGGCGAGGAGGGAGAGCTGGTGCTATAAATGTATTCTAGCAGCTGCTGAGACATAGGAGTTATCATAATGAATCAGATTAGTGGTTCAGTATCTTGTCGACAACACCAGGTACTTCAGAAGAAGGTACAAGTGATCCCGCAATAGGCAGTTATGAGATAAACTCTACTCGGGCAGGTTATCTAATCCTCAATAGTTAGAGAGTGATTTGTGCCCTGAATCACGAGGGCTCATGTCTTCCAGAACTCTTGGATTTTTAAAAAATTGCTATTATAACTCTGGATAGCCTTGTTTATATAAGGTTATGGCTACACTGGCACATTACAGCACTGCAACTTTCTCTCTCAGGGGTGTGAAACCCCCCCCCTCTCTCCCAGCTCTTTCCCAGCGCTGGCGCGCGACCACACTCGCACTTCAAAGCGCTGCTGCGGGAGTGATCCCGCGGCCGCGCTTTGAAGTTTCGAGTGTAGCCATACCCTTAGTGTTTGGTCCTTTTCGGAATCCTGCTAAACTCTTGGTTTCAGTGACATTTTGTGCCAATAACTTTCTTAGCCATTCACACAAGGCAAGTTACCCTATCTTTGCATTAATTTTGGATTTTTCTGCCACTTAATTTAATTGAATGTCCTATTCTTGTATTATATGAGAGCATTAAGAAGCTCCCAGTCTACACATGCTCATATTCATTTATATGAGTTTAAGCACCTGTTGGTTTTTAAATGTAGCTATACTCAGAAAAGCAAGTATAAAAATAGCATTATGGAATTCCATGGTCACTTTCTCTCAATTTCCAAATAAAATCTACTCACTTTAAAGGTAAAATCTTTATTTTTCTGACTAGTAATCCTGCAAACTCAACCTGGGCTCTGAGTGACCAAGTGCAGTGTCTTACGTTTCAGCCAGAAAGAACTATTTTGCAGGCTAAATAATCTCCTCACTTAAACTTTTGCAGCCCAGTTACTTCCAGTAAGGTGGCACAGGTGTAACTAGCTAAACCAGTAATGAACTCAAACAATTCTGTTTAATGTGCAAAAAGGAACAAAATCCAGTTGTTCTTTCTTCGCTGCTAACTGAAGTAAAAAGTAATCAATTTCTCATTAAATTAATCATTACAAATAATTAATCCTTAAAGTCAGCAAATGTGACTCTGAATACACACAGGGAGCAGACTGAGTTAGGAATATGCCATTTTTTATACTGCCATTTTTCAGACTAGAACGAACTACATTTTATAGTTCCTCTGTGGTGTATAAGTTGGAAATAAGAAAAATAAACATTAAGAGTTGTGGAAAAAGTGAAACTAGTTTCACAATAATAAGGGTTATAAATGAATAAGGTTTTCATGCTCAGTGACTGCAACAGCACCATATTCCCTGAGTTTTCCAAACACCAACATTGCCCCCTCTACGCCATGCAAAAATTGTCCCTGAAATTTCTTCCTTGCCCATTACTCTAACCCACATAGTCCCTCCACTAACTCCCTCTTCCCCTTGTCACTGTTCTCAACGCCTTACATAACTTAGCCCCTCTCCAGTACCTGCTTTTGGTTGTTTCATGTCATGGAGCACTGTCATGGATGGGTATGAACTGTTCAGGCAGGGGAGGAAAGGTGGAGGAGTTGCACTGTATGTAAGAGATCAGTATGATTGCTCAGAGCTCCAGTACGAAACTGGACAAAGCCTGTTGAGAGTCTTTGGGTTAAGTTTAGAAGCGAGAGCAACGAAGATGATGTCCTGGTGGGCATGTGCTATAGACCACTGGACCAGGAGGATGAGGTGTAGGCGAGGCTTTCTTCAGACAATTAACTTAAGTTTCCAGAACACATGCCCAGGTTCTAATGGGGGACTTCAATCACCCTGACAATCAGCTGGGAGAGCAATACAGCAGTGCACAGACAATCCAGGAAGTTTCTGGAGATTGTTGGGGACAACTTCCTACTGGAGGAATCAACCACGGGCCATTCTCCTCTTGACCTGCTGCTTACAAACTGGGAAGAATTGGTAGGAGAAGTAGAAATGGGTGGCAACCTGGGCAGCAGTGACCATGAGATGGTTGAGTTCAGGATCTTCACAAAAGGAAGAAAGGAGAGTAGCAAAATACGGACCCTGAACTTCAGAAAAGCAGACTTTGACTCCCTTAGGGAACTGATGGGCAGGATCCCTTGGGAGGCTAATATGAGAGGAAAAGTAGTCCAGGAAAGCTGGCTGTATTTTAAAGAAGCCTTATTGAGGGCACAGAAACAAACCATCCCGAAGGGCAGAAAGAATAGCAAATATGGCAGGCGACCAGCTTGGCTTAACAGTGAAATCTTCAGTGAGCTTAAACACGAAAAGGAAGCTTACAAGAAGTGGAAACTTGGACAGATGACTAGGGAGGAGTATAAAAATATTGCTTGAGCATGCAGGGGTGTAATCAGGAAGGCCAAAACACAACTGGAGTTGCAGCTAGCAAAGGATGTGAAGGGTAACAAGAAGGGTTTCTACAGGTATGTTAGCAACAAGAAAAAGGTCAGGGAAAGTGTGGGACCCTTAATGAATGGGGGAGGCAACCTAGTGACAGAGGATGTGGAAAAAGCTGAAGTACTCAATGCTTTTTTTTGCTTTGGTCTTCACAAACAAGGTCAGCTCCCACACTGCTGTCCTGGGCAACACATTATGGGGAGGAGGTGAACAGCCCTCAGTGGTGAAAGAACAGGTTAAGGACTATTTAGAAAAGCTGGATGCCTTCCATACATCCGAGGGTGCTGAGGGAATTGGCTGATGTGATTGCAGGGCCATCTTTGAAAGAGCATTATCTTTGAAAACTCATGGTGATTGGGGAAGGTCCTGGACAATTGGAAAAAAGCAAATATAGTGCCCATCTTTTAAAAAGAAAAGACGGAGAACCCAGGGAACTACAGGCTGGTCAGCCTCACCTCAGTCCCTGGAAAAATCATGGAGCAGGTCCTCAAGGAAACCATTTTGAAGCACTTGGAGGAGAGGAAGGTGATCAGGAACAGTCAGAATGGATTCACCAAGGGCAAATCATGCTTGACCAACCTGATTGCCTTCTATGATTAGATAACTGGCTCTGTGAATATGGGGAAAGCAGTGGATCGGATATATCTTGACTTCAGCAAAGCTTTTGATATGGTCTCCCACAATATTCTTGCCAGCAAGTTAAAAAAGTATGGATTGGATGAATGGACTATAAGATGGATAGAAAGCTGGCTAGATTATCGGGCTCAACAGGTAGTGATCAATGGCTCGATGTCTAGTTGGTAGCTGGTATCAGGCGGAGTGCCCCAGGGGTTGGTCCTGGGGCCAGTTTTGTTCAACATCTTTATTCATGATCTGGATGATGGGATGGATTGCACCTCAGCAAATTTGCAGATGACACTAAGCTGGGCGGAGAGGTAGATACACTAGAGGGTAGATATAGGGTCCAGAGTGATGTAGACAAATTGGAGGATTGGGCCAAAAGAAATCTGATGAGGTTCAACAAGGACAAGTGCAGAGTCCTGCACTAAGCTTGAAGAATCCCATGCACTGCTACAGGCTGGGGACTGACTGGCTAAGCAGCAGTTCTGCAGAAAAGGACCTGGGGATTACAGTGAATGAGAAGCTGGATATGAGTCAGCAGTGTGCCCTTGTTGCCCAGGAGGCATATTGGGCTGCATTAGTAGAAGCATTGCCAGCAGATCGAGGGAAGTGATTATTCCCCTCTATTCAGCACTGGTGAGGCCACATCTGGAGTACTGTGTCCAGTTTTGGCCCCCCCCAATACAGAAAGGACATGGACAAATTGGAGAGAATCCAGCAGAGGGCAACAAAAATGATTCGGGCTGGGACACGTGACTTACAAGGAAAGGCTGAGGGAACTGGGCTTGTTTAGTCTGCAGAAGAGAAAAGTGAGGGGGGATTTGGTTGTAGCCTTCAACTGCCTGAAGAGGGGTTCCAAAGAGGATGGAGCTTGGCTGTTCTCAGTGGTGGCAGATGGCAGAACAAGGAGCAATGGTCTCAAGTTGCAGTGGGGGACGTATTATGCTATACAAAGCACACGGGCTCTTTTATAAGAGAGAAGGCAAATATGCCATATTTATTGAAAATACAACAGTTAGCATATGCTTTTCAGTCGCGCACACACACACACTCACTCTCCTGCCAGTTGCTGTTCTTATAGATACCAGTCTGGATCAATCTTGTGGCCAGCCAGATTGGTCTTATAGGGGAGTCAGGCTTTGTCAGTCACGATCTGATGCTCCTAGAGTAGTGGCAAGACGAACCCAAAATCCCATGGCAAAGCACCCTGTTCTTATAGTTCTTTTTCTCTGTTGAAATCTATGGATTTTGCTGTGTCAGTTTATGACAGGTTACTCCTTAATTCGTATCTTTTAATGTAAAAACATTCCAAAACACCTCCGAGAGGGTTATCCTGTCCTGGTTCCGATTTAATCAATTGTCCTGTCTTTAGGGGTGCCAGCCTTCACCTCACGGTCGTCAACTTGCCCTTCCTTCATTATTGATGTGTGCTGATGATTTTCTGGTGTCGTTAAGTCTCTTTACTCCTTTTTCCTTGACCATCTGGCTATAACAATGGCCTTCACATCTTATCTTTTCCTGATTCATACATTCCTCATTCACACAAACAGTCTTTTTACAGAGATCTTTGAGAATACAAACAGTGTCAGTTTATTTTGAATCTCCTTAACATAGATACAATACAAGATCCTGTCTTTTACTTACTAGACCTTAAAAACAATGAAATGTATATTTAACTAGAGTGCCTAATTTGTAATACATGTAGGAAACCATAGTAGACATTATAACTTATCCTAAAACAAAAGGGTGACCATAGTCATAAGGATTGTTCTGGTCTGTCCCTACCTTAACATCAGTATAGACACTG